TGGGCAGGTGCTCCAAATCGAGGGCAAACACATTTATTGTGGTCAATCTGTAAAATGCAACAGCACGTGTGTCACACACAGCAATCTTCAACCGAATCGCCATTAACCACGTGACTGGTGTACAATTCCGGTTAATCAATAACCCTTCCAGCCACCCACAGGCCCAAACTCAGTTATCACACGCTGGTGTACACACGTGCATTGATGTACTGCACAGCACACAAGGACTTTCACGAAACCACACTTTACCCCCTTGCTGCACGAGGAAATAATTAAAAGAGTGGTCCATTCCTAATGTGCCACATTGATATAATGTGAGTTCAGTTGCAACAGCATGGCGTACATTGGGGGGGTTGTCCTTCTGTTACAGAGTGCAGTTTTTCGAGTTCTGGAAACATGCTGTGGTCAACCTAATCACCTATTGCAGTGGTTTGTGAGTCACGACTCTTGAAACCAACAATAAATACTCCCTCGTGCACAAGGTGTGGTTTGCGAGTGCAAAGTTCCCATACAGTGCGTGTGCCTTGGGTAATTTAAACATTATGACTTGCGACAACTTTCACATCTTTACCTAAGGAAGATTAGCTTGGTCTCAAATGCATTTCTTTTGTTGAGAGCCCTGCTTATGACGTTCAAACCAGTATTGTGCTGTTTAGCTTTTTTTTAGTCTGTGTGATGAAATCAGGAGGTACAGAGAAGACGCAAGCACACATGTGCGAGATAACTCACACACGTTCTGCAAATCCTTTAACTTTCTACCTGTGCTGCCCCCTACAGTCACGTTTTTAAAAACACACAAACACCCAATGAGATACATTGTATTTATGAAAACTTTAAAACTGTAAAAACCAAACATCAGAGTTATATTAAAACTGCGGTATATTTAATATACAAGTCGCATCATAAAAGTACAATAAACACGAATGTAAATTTACGTATCACATTTAAAAGTGTACGAGCTTGCGTGAAATTGCAATAACACCCATTACTGAAGCGTGTCAAATCCTTGAGACGGACACGTGTGCGTGGTGTAGGCAATGCACATACCGTGTACGTGCTCAAGTGTACACCTGCGAGATTGTGGATAGCTCAACTCCGAATGACACTCACACTGCGGCTGAAATATTCTAGCGCGTACTATTGAGGCACAACTCAGAGTACGGTGGATAGTTTGGCATCGGCTGAGTGACAAGGAAAATATGCCACTCCTTTAAACAGGTAATTCAGTATCGTACCACACACACTACTACTACTGCTGCTTGCGAAACAGATCATTCGTGCGGCTATCACTGCACGTATGGTGTGACTGTGTGTGTCTTGCTCTAGTCGGGCAAAACTTGAGAGATCACATCTGGTAGGTATCAATACATTTTTCAGGAATTATTTTCCCTATAATTACTCATTAAATCACTGGTTCATGCACAGCCCAGCATCAAACTAGGTCCATCCACTCACCAGGTGTCATGCAGCAGTCAGCGCTATGCTGCGCTACAAACCTGGCGACCCGAGTTCGATTCCCGCTCACGGCCAACACCAGTGACGATTATCTGAACCAGTTCTGGGCCTCCCCGAGGTCGACTCGGCCTCAAATGAGTACCTGGTGTGGCGTGTAAACATCGCCAATGGTGAAGAAAAGAGCGGTCGAGCGTGGTTCTGGCCACCCACTCCCTCGTATACCGTCCTTGCCTTCAATAGGTGCTCGCTAACAGCACTTGCTCCAACATTCTGTTCAGCCTATACGGGGATAGGGGTGGGGATCTTTGTTATCTTTACAGCAGCCAAGCATCAAACAAAACAACTGCCACGCAAACCCTTTCACCACAATGGATACAGTATCTTCACTTCCTGGCCATGTGTGTGTGTATGCAACGCACACAATAGAAAACGAACACAAACATGCACGCACATAAATCAAAGAGACACAAACACGCCCCCGGTATTGCCCTTTAGCAAAGAGTGTTGGGACAAGTGCTGTTCGTGAACATCTACGAAGGCCGGCACGCCACAACGAGGTGGTTGGTCAACAGCACGCCCGGCCGAATTTGTCTCCCCCAGTGCTGGTATTTACACACCATCCTTGCAGACACACACACGTTTTCATGTTATTGTGATATACATGTCGATACACATAATGCATCCTTACATTACGCATAGACATGTAACGTTATTCTTATTACAGGTGCGATACAAACCATGCTGATGAAACTCCTGTGTCATGCAGTTTGTAGATTTGTACCGTTTCAAAACACTAACACACGTGCTCGTACAGCAGTGCCGGTGCTGCTGCTGTGCCCCCGAGTTCTACGTGTTTAGATATCTGGCACGTAGAGAGATTCACTGGGACGTTAAATGTAGTGGAGCTCATTCGCCCAGTGTCCAGGGCAAAGACTCATTATTCATCCACTACCATGCCGCGCAAGACAGACTCGATCATTTAAACCTTCGCTGCATTAGATACATTTAAAAAAAACCTGGCACCGGAGTTTATACATTCACATGTCCGGCCTGGGTCATTAACACCCCTGGCATTACGTTCGTTTCACGAATTGGTCCTCCATAAAACACGAATAATTATTTTCCACTGGGTTCATGTATTCAAACCCCAACACCAGGCCGATTCATATTTCCTATAATGTACATCTGGTCGGTTTCAATAAATTGTCAGGAATTGTTTTCCAAATACACTCATTAAACCACTGGTTCATTCACAACCCAGCACAAACTAGGTCCGTCCGCTGACCAGGTAAGTCTCATTCATTCAAAGTCTGGCACAAAACAGAAACCTCGGTTTCATTAACTCGGATCCTGGCTACAAGCAGGTCTTTTCATTCAACAGGACAGGGTTAAATCATTTGCAACCCAGAAAGAATGAATTAGTCTGTCTCCAGGGCTGACTGGATGCTCCGGAGTTCGACTTTGCTATTATTACTCATGCTTCTTTTAAGCTTTGCTGGGTCGCTGCTCTTATTCTACGATTCCTTTATTCGATGCGAGCTTGAAACAGCAAGCAGTGGCAACCTGAACCTGGCTAGAGCGTCCCCGAAGGTCGATCCCGTCACAACGGTGTCTGCTACACAATACCAGGACGCACTTTACAATTGAACGAGTTACTTTGGAACAATTTCCACATTTCTAAATCAGTCAGACGTCAGAGTACTGCAAATCCATCCTCAAACGGAGAAGTCGAGCGCAGCGCTCATCTCCACTGCTTGCAATTCCACATTTCCATGACGGGATTCAGTCTCTAAACACGACCCCCGTTTCAGTGTCCAGCATAAACGTAAACAGGGCGGCCCGAAAATAAGGATATATAAGGCGATTTAATTTATTTAAACAAATCACATAGGGTTATTTAATATATGTAAACAAAGCACATAGGGTTATTTAATTTATTTCAAATGTCCAAACTAACTCGCATTAACATTAATGCATGTATGAATTCTCTTTTGAAATTAATTTCAGGACTTTTTTTTAAGATCAGGTGTGATATTTGAACATTCATCAATTACATTTCGACTCTATTCATTCACTGCGTTGTTCGTCGAGTTTCGTAAACAATGGATTAGAGGTCACCTGGCACAAAGAATAATATATAATAGATAAAATAATGTATTCACTTAAATAATAGAAAAGTGAAATGTTTGAATGTAAGTGTCACGATTATTAAAATATTCATATGCGTCGTGACGTTTTGGCTACACTGCATATTATAGAAGTTTTAATATCCAGGTAAGCTCGAGATTTGTGATTTGCCCGTGGCAATGTGTCACTACGCAGTGTAAATTATACTTCAAACTTTCATAATACCGAATTTCATTTTCACAAACTATATCGTGTATTTAACAATATCACGTGGATTGCTACAACCCCTAATTACAACCGCATCAGATGAAGCCATAGTAATATCAACTACTGTACAGTATTTTTAATACATACACACCCAGTTTAAAATAGGAACATCGTGGTCAGCTTAAGGCTGAGGACGGAGCTGCAGCACTTTAGTTAAATTGTCCAGTGAATCGACTGAAGATGAAACCCGGCAGACTGGTCTGCAGTCTGGGCAAACCACTGCCCAGGGGCACTCCAAAGCCCCCCACACACATCCCTCTCACTCCAAAACACTCCCTGTGCCCCCCACACACATCCCTCTCGCTCCAAAACACTCCCTGTGCCCCCACACACACACATCCCTCTCACTCCAAAACATTCCCTGTGCCCCCCACACACAGACATCCCTCTCGCTCCAAAACACTCCCTGTGCCCCCCACACACATCCCTCTCACTCCAAAACACCCCCCCCCCCCCCCACACACATCCCTCTCACTCCAAAACACTCCCTGTGCTCCCCACACACACATCCCTCTCACTGCAAAACACTCCCTGTGCCCCCCACACACATCCCTCTCACTCCAAAACACTCCCTGTGCACCCCCCCCCCCCACACACATCCCTCTCACTCCAAAACACTCCCTGTGCTCCCCACACACACATCCCTCTCACTCCAAAACACTCCCTGTGCCCCCCACACACATCCCTCTCACCCCAAAACACTCCCTGTGCCCCCCACACACATCCCTCTCACTCCAAAACACTCCCTGTGCCCCCCCCACACCACAATCCCCGATGGCATCCTGCACGTGCCCCCCCCCCCCCCCCCCCGCCAATTCTTCGTGATCCCTAACTCCTGCACACCCCGCCACCACACACAACACGTGCCCCTCGGTCGCTTGCAACACTGCCCACCCACTTTGCCCATCTCATCCCTCCAGCACCACCACCAACACCCAACCCCCCCAATCACATCACTCGTGTGCATCCTCCTCCTTCCCCATTCCACGTGGCTTTCTCGTGCACCTGCCACTCCCACCGCTCCCCACGCGGCTTCCTCCCTGCTCGCATCCCCCGTGCACCTGTCCCCCCCACCCCCCCCACCATTCCAATACCACCTCCCTCCCCCGCCCCAGGGTGTCCCCCTTCTCCACCACCCCCCACGCACTCACCTGTCATCGTAGCAGAAGTCAGCGCCCAGCGTGTTCGCGTAAACTCCCGCGGCCAGCAGCGAGCACAGAGCCTCCCCGAGTGCCCCCGGAACGCCGTTCCTCGCCTCCATCGGCATCGTCCGCAAGTTCGTCCTCGTGGTCACCCGCAGCATCAGCTGCCACCACAACGCCTCCCTCCACTCACCTCCTCGAGTAAATCCCAGCGGCGAGAAGGCGGCACATTCAAGCGGCTGTGTGCGGGCTTGATGAGCAGCGGGGTGGCAGAGGCGGTCTGCCCTCCACCCCCCCACCACCACCTCGCGTTGAGTCGATACAAACTTCCTGCACGTGCGGGGGGGAGTCTGTCCACAGGGCTCTACACAAGAACCCCCCTGCGTGTCCTCTCTCTGCGTATCGCTCACCGAGTGAGTCTCTTACTGCGCGTCTCTTACTGGATGTCTCCCAGAGCCTCTCTCCCTGTGTGGTCTCCCCCAGGGCCAGCTCTCCCGTTGTTTCTCTTGAAGTCTCTTCCCAAGAGTGTCCCCGGAGGGGGGGGGGGGGGGTGTCCACCTGGCTGCCGTGTGTTGCACGTGTCCACAGGTGTCTTCACTGGGATTCCCGCATGTGCTTTGAGAGCACTATTCCCCCTTTCTCGCCGGGTGTCTCTCTTGAGTCGGTCACTTTCCCAGGCACCTCCCTTGGAAAGTGTATCTTGAGAATTACTCTCCTTTGACTCGAAGTCTTTCTCCCAAAGTGTCTCCTGTCTCACGGAAGTTGCAGCCGCCCCTCTAGTTGCCTTGGCAATCTGTCTCTTCGGGGCTGTCTCGATTGTGAATCCTGACAGTCCCGGTCCTCTCCTCTCTTGATGGTCAACTCTCCTGGGCGTCCCTCGACAGCCGCGGTTGTCTTTCGGCAGTCACTCTCGCGGGCGTCCCTCTTAAATGCCTTTCTCCACGCGTCTCTTCTCCCGGGGGGGTCTCGCTCCGGCTGCTGTGGCTGTCTCGCTGCCCTCGGGGAGAAATCTGCCCCAGTGGGCTACCCTCGGGGGTGGACACCGCAGCTGCTGCTGCCCCTTGCTGCTGCCCCCCGAGTCGGGGCGAGGGTCAGCACGTGCATAGCTCCTCTTCCTCGCGTCCGGATGCCCCCACGTGGATCACACGTGGCCACGTGCAGCTCCAAGCAGCCGCGCGCGCGCGCACGCACCACACACACAGCGACGCACGCGCTCGCTCGCAGGCACCACGCACGCCGCCGGCTCGCCGAGCGCGCGCGCGCGCGCCACCCCGCCGTGCTCCGCTTATAAAGCGAGCGCACGCACGCCCGCTTAGTCAGCCCCGCCCCCTTCACGCCCTTGTCTCCGCCCACACACTCCTAGCCCCGCCCCCTTCACGCCATTGTCTCCGCCCACACACTCCTATCCCCGCCCCCTCCGCGCCCTTGTCTCCGCCCACAGACTCCTAGCCCCGCCCCCCGTGTTCTTGTCTCCGCCCACTCTCCACTGGCCCCGCCCACACACTCCTAGCCCCGCCCCCTCCGTGCCCTTGTCTCCGCCCACACACTCCTAGCCCCGCCCCCTCCGCGCCCTTGTCTCCGCCCACACACTCCTAGCCCCGCCCCCTCCGCGCCCTTGTCTCCGCCCACAGACTCCTAGCCCCGCCCCCCGTATTCTTGTCTCCGCCCACTCTCCACTGGCCCCGCCCACACACTCCTAGCCCCGCCCCCTCCGTGCCCTTGTCTCCGCCCACACACTCCTAGCCCCGCCCCCTCCGCGCCCTTGTCTCCGCCCACAGACTCCTAGCCCCGCCCCCCGTATTCTTGTCTCCGCCCACTCTCCACTGGCCCCGCCCACACACTCCTAGCCCCGCCCCCTCCGCGCCCTTGTCTCCGCCCACACACTCCTAGCCCCGCCCCCTCCGCGCCCTTGTCTCCGCCCACACACTCCTAGCCCCGCCCGAGACCACACCGGGCCCTCGTCAATCAGCCCCCCCGCCCCACGCATCTTTGTCTCCGCCTCCTCCGTTTTGACCCCCCCCCCCCCCGTGTTCTTGTCTCCGCCCACTCTCCACTGGCCCCGCCCACAATAGTTTCTCACTAAAAAAGAACAGCGATTACGACGCCTCGTTTCCAATGTAAAACATCTACAAATCGAGTTGTCATTGCCAAACTTTCCCATATAAATGTACATTTGGCGATGCTGCGTTGCCAGAGATGCACACGCACAATTGGCAGAGAACTCAACGCATTCGTCCATAATTATGTGGCCTTTAACATGATACATATGGTACGTATGTGTATATAAGACGACGTTTCAAACACATCCCATTAATGCGGACTACTAGGAGTGAATTATTTCAGCAGGAGTGGCTTAATATTAGCAAACTCTGGACCGTTTTTTAACTTTCAGTATCTGATCAGTAGAAACAGGCATGCTTAAACCAATGGTAATGCACTGCCAGATATTTATGGGCAAATACCCTCTATAAGAAAGACATGGGTAATGATTCGTGTTATATGCAGCAGTACGTTTGACCAGGGTTGCCACAATATTGTTTTTCAATGATAGGAATACATTGCTTATTTACACGATAAGCCGTCTATCCTGATGTCAACTTTGTAATTCTATGTAACAATTATAATGCTGTAATGCAATTTGTAGCGCGCGCAATATTTCACGAACATAAATGACCGTGTGACTTTGAGGTGCGGAGGAGCCAAGTTCAATAGTCGCTCGAAAGCCAAGAGACTGAGGTGGCCTTCAAGAGAGAGGCGTGGTGGGTGGGTGGGGGACTTTAAGAGAGAGGTGGGGACCTTTCAGTGACCCTTAAAAGTCGCTGTCGATTAAACGCTTCTGCGAATATGCAGCAGCAGCAGCGGGATGGCGTTCCAGATGGCGGGGGGTGCCACGGAGAAACGACGCCTGGCAGTGACTATGGTCCTAGCTCCTTGTTGTAGAGAGGAGGAGGTGAGGAGTCGTGCTTCCTGCTCCTGTTCTGCAGAGAGTTCCACAGTGAGCTGTAGTGCACGGGTGACAGGAGCGAATAAGGAAGATGCGTCGGACAACTGAAGGCAGAGGGCGCGGTGGTGGCACAGGGATGCATTTAATTTGTTTAGATTGTTTAGATCATGTGGCCGCTTGAAATATCCACATGATAAGCCACATCATTTGTGGCCAAGTCGCTTCTGAAAATGAAAATAATAGCTCAGTGGGCTTAACCTGGTAAAATAAAAGTAAATCTTGACTTAAAGCTTTTGTGACTGCAGGAATTCATACTCTTTGGGTCTTTCGGTAAAGTCATTTTTTCTATCTACGTGACTTTACCGAAAGACCCAAAGAGAATAAAAAATAAAAGTCGTTTAGTTTTATTTGAAAAAAAAAAAGATTTACTTATCGGATTCCTCCATGCAGTATAAATAAGTATTGTGATTTAGATTTGATTCTGGTCGGAGATATTGTAGCTGCTGACCCTGCTGGTGATGATGGGAGGCAGGCGAGGGAATCTAGCCGAGGATGACGCGGGCGATATGGTTTTATAACCGTTGGACTTTCTTTTACAATGTTAATGTACGTTCAGTAGAAATACTGTATTTTACTGAAATATACAAATATTGTACTGAAAGGGGTGACGTCTTCTAACCATTGAACATTTACAATCTATAAGGATTATAACGCACATACTGTCACGCAAAAATTAAATGCTGTAATTCATTCAACTACGAAAATTATGAAGTTAAATAATCGCCATGCCGCCAATCACTGAAACATATCTAACAAAGCACTAATTTAATGGGTAATGGCTTTTTATTTGTAACTTTAAACATTGCGCTTTTGATATTTTCGAAATAGTTTGCTAGGAATTTATATATTTTTTGAAATAACCACCACATTGGGTCACCCATCGTCGTAGTAAACTTGTATATCTCACAGCTGTGGTCGAGATCGTGCCTTAGAATGCTGTGTGCGTGAGTTCAAGTTGTTGCTTGGTTAAGTAAAGTGAGAACTTAAGAGAAAATAATAGTCTCATTTGCAACAATGGCCTCACAACGAAACCGAAAACAATGCAATATTAAATTAAAAATATATTCAGTGAACAAAGTTGGCTCACACTTGTAAAAAAACTATAAGCAGTACAATTAAGTTCCAGAAATATAAAAGGATACAGAATACAGTCCGTCAAATAAAACTGCAAGTGAAGTTAGACAGAATCGAGTGGTGTGTGTTTTATTATAGCGGTCTCGTGTGGCTGAAGGGATAACGCAAACGAATGCAACCATGAATCTAAAAACGCCGCATTCTTACACGCGGCGTTCGATAAACGTCCATAGGCTGCATGACTCACCCCGAGTGTGGAGGGGAGCGAGCTGTTCATCCCTACGGGATAGATAAAATTAGTACCACTTAGTGGAAAGCCATCTGTTGATGGACTTGCCCCTCAGAGCTGTAAACATGAGATCTTGTTGTGTATAGTTTAAAAGAAGATGATGATTTGAGTACACAATCTAAGCGAGTAGCCCGGAACAAGTCAGTCTTCAGAGCAACATGGTGCGTAAGCTTTCATCACAAAGGGAGTGAAATCAAACCTTGATCAACATAATTGTCAGCGAGATACAATAAACCACCACCTGTTGTCGCAACTGGCAAAACAATAAAGCTCAACTACGTTCTATAGATGGACTTCATCGTGCCATAGTAATGTGGAATGTTACCCACTGGTTCAGGACCGCCAGCGGAGATGGGGACTGCCCAGCTCTTAGTTTAAGCCAATGAAATGTTTGGTCCATACAGTATACATGTTTATAAACGAGCATCTATTATAATGTAAATATTAATTCAAAACGTGATGTGAAGAAAGGCCATTTCCCAAAACGTCGTTTGTTAAAATAAAATCCATTTAAGGCAGCGTTATTGACGCATCCGTTATGGGTTTTTTGTTTTTATAATTCACGTCGTTGTGGAGAATATAAACAACATAGATCAACATACAATACCAAATCCTTTCTTTTACACAACCCAACTGCCCCATGCCATCTGGGGGTGCGTAATTGCACCAGCATTAATTCAATTACAAACTCTGAACCAAAACTCTGGACTCTGGAACTGTAATAACCTAGGTTATTGCGAGTGCGCAATGTTCACATGGAAGTTGTTCAGCTGGCACAGCAGCAGGCTTTCGAGTTGTGAAATGAGTTTCATAAGTCAGGTTATAGCCTCGCCTCCCTGCATATCCTGTGGGGGGACTGCTTCATGCCATTGGAAAGTGGAATTTCAACTTCACAGCATGGGTCCACGTGGATGACCAGGCCCTCACGCTCCTTGGAGCGAAGGGGGCACACTGACCCGAGTCAAATGTCGGTGTTGTCTATGTGGCGATGATGTACGTCGCGTTCACTACGCTGTATAAAATGTCACTGTATTTCAAATAAACATGTGCTCATATAATAAATGCGTCGCGTAGGGTATTCATTGTGTAGACGCGATTGGGTGCCTCGCTCAAACGGGCGAGCTGCTCGTTTACGAAAAGACTCCCCTCTATGAGAATAGGTCTTCCCCTTTTTTTCTGGCAACAAAACAGGTGTTAAGATGTTAAACACACAAATTGAAAACTTTTACAAGGAATCATGTCTGTATTAACCACAATACTCGTGGTCAGAATGCAAACAAAAAACATATTCTGGAATTAATATTCTTTGTGTCTTTTGGTAAAGCCACGTAGAAATAAAAATAATAAAAATAAAGACCCAAAGAATATATGCATTGTCTTTTAAACTGATTGGTCCATACCAGCTACAGCTTTCTTTCGAGCCTCTTGTCTAACACCGTTTGAGACGAGGCTCGAAAGAAAGCTGTCTCTGGTGTGGACCAATCCGTTTCAAAGACAACGTATATATTATCAGAGTATGTTTTTTGTTTGCATTCTGACCACAAGTATTGTGGTTAATGCAGACATGATTCCTTGCAAAAGGTTTCAGTTTCGTGTTTTAACATCTTAACACAGCTGTTTTGTTGCCAGAAAAAAGGGGAAAACCTATTCTCATATTTTGGTACTGGCAAAGGAGGTCCCATGATGTAGCCGCTCCCCTCTAGTGGACGATCTGTCACATTGCAGATATCGTCTTGGAAACATTTTAACGTGGCACAGAATATAACTTGCTTAATCCGCCATCTCATCCTGCCATTCGCGCTCCTAATCTGAGCCAAGCTAAGTATTCAATATGCAGCCCAACATGCAACAAATTTGCAATAAAAAAACAATCCAAA